CCACCCCCAATTTATAATACAAGACCCACCCCCCTCCCCCCCTTAACCAGCCATATTCTTATGTAAAAAAGCAGACCCCAAGTATTTCCCCTGCCATGTAGCCTTTTTACATAGGGGCTTTAATAAAAGTTAAAACCATAAGCTCTTAATAACAAACAATTTTTTATTTTTTCCCCCTGTTTTAGACTAACATTGGTTATTTTTTAGTGAGGACAAGTTGAAACTGCAGCAAAGCCCCTGTTAGCAAAAACAGATTCTCTGAGTCAGTGGATGAGAGATAAGAAGGCTGCTTCTTCCCCCACTTTTTAACAAATACAATTGAAAGTTATATTAAGGTTTGTAAAGGAATAAACACTTTAAAAGACAAGCCTATATGAAAATACATCCCTTTATTTAACATTTTTACAGGTGTGTTTCAATAAAATAGAGCATGCAGAAACACCTCAGCTTTAAAACCACAGGTCCTTAGCTTATATTCCCTTTATTCTGTAAACCGTGGATCAGAAAGAAGAAGTTTGTTTCTTCCCTCACTTCTTGACAAATACAAGTGACGGTTATATTAAGGTTTGTAAAGGAATAAACACTTTTATTTTACAAGACAAGCCTATATGAAGACAGAGCCCTTTATTTAACATTTTTTCCTGTCTTTCAATAAAAAAAACAACAACGAGCATGCAGAAACACGCCAGAGTGAAAACCACAGAACCTTAGTAACAGCTAGTTTATATTCCCCTGTAATCTAGTGGATCAGAGAGAAGTTTATTTTCCTCCCCACTTTTTAACAAATCCCTGCAAAAGTTATAGTAAGCTTTCATTTTCTTAGGACTTCTAGATTAAGTATGAATTTTTCTGTTGCATTATCAGAATGTCTGTGTTTTTAAATGTTTGCAAACCGTGTGCTGAGACACAGGTACAAGCTCCTGTGTTTGTTTTGGGTCTATAGATTTTATTAAAATAATACAGCACAGGCTGGAGCTGTGGCTTTCTCTACATTTTAAAAACAGATCAGACTAATTCGGCTAGCCAGTGCTCCATGCACTACAGTCTGCCTTAGCACGGCTCTAGGGATCACCCCTTCAGTTGCTAGTTTTTTTACACAGACTTCTTTCCTAACTTTTTAAACGCTGTTCAAGTTTTAACAAAGGGTGAGATTGCATTGCAAGACACTTCGTGAAAGTTATAACAAGTATTTTATTCCATGTACTGATTGTAAAAGACAAAACCCGTGGCTTTGTGACTGCATGAAGCTCAGAGATAGCCTGTCTGAAGAACACCCCCACCGCTCGACTTTCCCCCCATACTTTTAACACTTGCTAAACATGCAGTGTTTCATTATATAAAGGTTTATTTAACATTTAACATGAAAATACAGCATTGACTGAGATATAATATAACATGACCTTTTTAAAGGTTATTCTGTATGCATTGAGCCCTATTTGAAGCATTCTGTTTGTTTTTTTAAAAGTTTAACATGAAAAAGCAGTATTGACTGAGCTGTAACAAAACAAGGCCACTCTTAGGGATATTTCGTAGAAGTTTAGTGAACTAAAAAGGCTTAAGATACTAGCCTATCCTTTTAAAAATAGTGTTTTTAAAGTACCAAAACAACAACTGGGTAAGAATACGAAAGCTGGCAATTGAAGGGAGTTTACATACGTCTTTTAATTATCAAAGAAATAAACAAGACTGCTTTTTAAAGTTTGCATTTATACAAAAAAACCACAAGAAAAAAATAGTTTATGTAAAAAAAGTGAGCTGGGGTTTTTTTTGTTACCAAAGATAAGGAGTCTGCCCCCCACACACCCACACCTTCCTACTCCCGCCTTCTTCTTTTCTAATATTTTTAAAAATCTAAACCAAGGTGTCATAAACATACAGCTAAGGGTAGCATAAAATCCCTCCTTTACCTATAAGGGGTTAAGAAGCTCAGATAACCTCATTGGCACCTGACCAAAAGGACCAATAAGAAAAGAGGATACTTTCAAATCTGGGTGAGGGGGAGAGGTTTTGTTTGTGCTCTCTTTGTTGTGCTGTCTCGGGACAGAGAGGGACCAGGGCAGGAAAAAAAAATCTCCTAAAACCCTACCTGAAATAAGCATCTAAGATTACAAAAATTTAAGTAAAGGCAAGAAAATGCATTAAATTATCTTTTGTTTCAGCTCGTAAATTTTCTCTATGCTAAGAGAGAGGCTTATTCCTGTTTTTGTAACTTTAAAGTTGAGCCTAGAGGGGAATCCTCTGTGTTTTAAATCTTTTTATTACCCTGTAAAATTACCTTCCATCCTGATTTTACAGAGGTGCTTCATTTACTTTTTTCTTTATAATAAAGTTCTTCTTTTAAGAATCTAATTGATTTTAGAGTCCTAAAGATAAAGGGTCTAGTCTGTACTTTTATTAAAGGCAATTGGTTAGTATATTATTCTCAAGCCTCCCCAGGAAAGGGGGTGAAGGGGCTTGGGGGAATATTTTGGGGAAACAGGGCCTCCAAGTGGCTCTTTTCCCTGGATGTTTGTCTAAATCACTTGGTGGTGGCAGCAATACCGTCCAAGGACAAAGAAAGGATTTGTGCCTTGGGGAAGTATTAACCTAAGCTGGAAGAATATAAGTTTTTTTTTGTGTGTGGGGGGTCTTTCATGCAGGTCCCCACATCTGTACCCCAAATTTCAGAGTGGGGAGGGAACCTTAACACAAGGACAAACACTTTTTAAAAAAAGCCATAGCCACAGAGATCAGGCCAAGGGGGTAAGAAAGCTGTCCTGATTTTTAGGGGGAATGTTGATAACTCTTTTAGTGAAACAGTTTTGTAGGCAGCCATTCTGTGTTAGTTATGCTTTAGCATGGGGAAGTGTTTGTCATTTGGAAGCACTTTCCCACTTTATGAGGTATTATCTCCTCCATCCTATGGCCTATCAGAAATATGAACTTAAAGATACTTTATAGCAGGGCCTGCAAATCAACAATTACAATTTTGTTTATCATTATCTTGTCTAAGCCCCTAGAGAATATTTTTTGTTTTGTTTTTATAAAACACTTTTAGGCAAACTGTGATCCCAGATGATGTACAGCATTAAAAAATACAAAGCAGTAGATGAGAGACCTGAGACATTGTTGAAATCAGAGGGCTCATGATAAGTTCGAATGCAGAGGGCCTGGGAGGAGGGATGAAAAGGTACAGCCAAAGTGGAAGACAGTATGATTTGGGGTTCTGGGGCTGCTTTTCAATGGTCCAGATGCCCCAATAGCCTATATCCTTCATGCACAAGTGCCTGGGCTGGGTGGGCCTTTGTTAGAGGAACAGGCCATTCATATACCTCTTGTTGTTGTTGACAAACTGTAACCTAACTGTATGCATACTATGGGGGCAACCTACTTCCCTTTT